ATATATATATATATATATATATATATATATATATATGTTTTAATAGATACATATTTAAATTAATAGTGAATGAATGCTTAATACTGCTAATAATAAATGTATATTTCAAAATTATGTATTTTAAAATAAACATTTTGTACATAAATTATACATTAAAAATACATATACATAAATATATAATAATAATAATACGTAAGGCATATATAATAGGTTATAATAAAATAGTTACAAATACATGTTTAATAATTACAATTATTGTATAATAACAATAATATGATACATTTTAAAGAATATATGTTTAAAAAATAATATAAAATATATTTAAACAAATATAATAATAATAATAACAACTATTATTTAGAAATTATATATTTTAAATGTTAAAAATTCTGAAAACAAATTATATATAAAACAGAATAATTAATATTTTAAAATAGTATTATATTAATTTAAAATTGTTATATTAATATTATAAAAAATATTAGTATATAAAATATTTTACTTTACATTTAAATAATAATAGCAAATAAGTATAAGGTGTGTTTCAGTATAAGATACCATTTAGATTTAACAAATATACTTGCATTTAAATGTCAGCATTTTAGCAAACACGCTTTTGAAGTGCGTGTTCCTTAGAAGGGAGTGCTTTCTATTTTTTCCTAGAAGAGAATAAAAGGCAAAGAATATAAAAGTTTTGACCTAAAAACTACCACACATAGACTGAAGCCACAAAATCTCTACCTTGATTTTATGGGGTCTTTTACCTCCAATTTAATCTAAACCTGACCTTTTCATCTTTTTCTTTCAGTAAAAAATACTTGTATCAAAAGAATGTTGTGGAAAAAGTTACAGCCAATGTGTCACAAGGCAAGGTAGGTGTTAAGTCCATTTTGATGGTAACCATTTGCACATATTTGTGTCGGACCATAAGTGAACACTCTTGTGTGCAGCATGCCAGCATGCTGGAGTGTGCCTGCCACATCATTTCCTACCTGGCAGATGTGATGAACGCTTTGAGGCAGAGCGGTGGCCAGGGCTCATCCCAGCTTCTGATGGAGGGAGAGGAGAAGGCGATTGAAGTTGACTCTGACTGGGTGGAGGAGCTGGCTGTAGAGGAGGAAGACTCGCAGGCCGAAGATTCGGTCAGGAGACAGTCTGCTCCCTGTGCCTTAGATTTAAATATTGCTTCAATTTTTCCAATCATATCTGAGTTTCTTGTGTTTTAGGATGAGGATTCACTCTGCAATAAGCTATGCACCTTCACCATCACACAAAAGGAGTTCATGAACCAGCACTGGTAATGGATCGACACGGCATTCCTTTGCTATGCAACAGAAGCGTTCAGAAGCTGTGCTGTGGGTCTTTAATCTCCTGCTCTTCCCCATACAGGTATCACTGTCACACCTGTAAGATGGTGGATGGGGTAGGTGTGTGCACAGTGTGTGCCAAGGTCTGTCACAAAGACCATGAGATCTCCTATGCCAAATACGGCTCTTTCTTCTGTGACTGCGGTGCCAAGGAGGATGGCAGCTGCCAGGTGAGACCGAATACTTCAGGTCATCATGGGAAAAGAGCAACTGCGGTAACTTTGGCTTGCAAATCATTTATCTTTGACTACCATTAGCTCATTTCAGACCTCCCTCAATTCATCAGGGTTTGCAACATTTCATCTTTTGGTTTTTTGATAATTAAGCAAGTTTATTACTTCAGATTAATTCAGTCCATTTCATTGTTGTTAAAGGAATAGTTCACCCCCAAAAAATTAACATTTACTTGTGTTGTTTCAAACCCACAGGAAGAGTTGTTTTGCAGCTGTTTCCAAAGTAATAATGGCTGTTAAACTTCATAAAAGACAAAAAAAAACAAGTAGTGCAAAGAACTACTGAATGAAGACTAGCATTATATCACACAAGCTGTAACGATTAAAAAGAAGTTAAATAACGTCATAATTTCAGATTCTATTGAATTAATATGGTTCATTTACTGATCAAGAATGCAATATTTAAGTCTACAACTTCTTGTGTGCAACTCTGTTATTGCATGATTTTAGATTATTACAACAACAACAAATATAGCATTCCTTAAAATTTTACTCAACACATTACAGTCCTTTTGTATTGCATGGATGGAAGAAAAGTAAATAGTTCATCCCTGTTACCTCCCCCTTTTTTCCAAAAACTACAAACAAACATTTGATCCAAAAGTAGCATAGGCTTAAGTAAGTTTAACTTCGACTAATTTGCAACCTTTTTTGATAGCTTATCAAATAAATATACTAATGTTTAAAGGTTTGAGTCTGATATTTTTAATGCTTTTTAAAGACATCTGTTATGTTCAGAAAAGATGCATCTGTTTGATCAAAAATACAGTGAAAACTAACATTTGTGAAATATTATTACATTTAAAAAAATGCTTTTCTATGTTAATATATTTTAGTATTTTAATATATGTTCAGCAGCCATTACTACAGTCTTCAATGTCACATAATCCTCCTGAAATCCTTCAGAACATTTGACCGATTCTCGATTTTTAACTAGTCAACTTGAAAATGTAACTACAACAGGATTCAAGATTTTATGACTCAAGAAAATTGTATTCCATGTGCACCACACATTAAGTTGTCAACAAGATGTAAATGTTAAATAAATCATTAGTTAAATATCTTTGCAGAAAAAATGCATGAACTACAACTACGTCTTGGACAAACTTGTACATATTATATGTTAAGAAATAATAGCCTACGAGGAAAAGGCTTTAAAATTGAATTGACTGAATGTATAACACCAGGTGGGAACCGGTATAACGCCAGTAGACTATTATTAACTATAAATGTTCTGTAAAAATAACAGCAGCTTTCAGCTTGTCACCATGATACAAACATAAAATATATGACATACAGTAGTAGTTACAGGTTTTTTTATTTGCTTGCGCTGCTTTTCCAGTTTTTTTCTATGGTAACATGGACGTGTTTGACTGTTGCGCTCGCGTCTCTTGCATAAAACTGCATTCTAAAAACGCGGCGCTCAAGTTAAAAGAAGTTCACTCCCATCTTGCATGTTTTTCCTATTCCACTGCCCGCGTCGCATCTTTGTCAGCACAAAAGTGCATTCTGTATGAATGGCGCTTAGCGCTATGAGCGGTTAATCACGTGCGCCGACATGCGGTTGGATCGTTCTTTTCTCTTTACTGTTATCATTGGCATATTGTCAAAGTGTCTAATTCTAACACTGGGTAATATTTCTATTCCAAATCGCGATTCCTCGATTTCTAAAAATTAAATCGTGGCAAAATTTAAATTCGAATTAATCGATCAAATCGGAAAAATCACCCAGCCCTAACTGACTCTAAACTTTTGAATGCTAGTCTGTTTATGTATTTATAAATTATGTAAGTTTTATTCAATGTTTATTTCCAGAAAATTGTGAAATTGCCCATCTGGGTTTCAAATTGTATTTAGATTGGTAAAATTGCAAACCCAAAATTAATAAAAAAAATAAAACCACTTCTATAAAAAGTAGACGGAATTAAATACTTCATATTTTTATGTGAAAAAGTATGGAACAGCATGAGGCTGAGTAAATAATGTAACTATTTTAATGTTTGGGTGAACTCTTCCTTTAATCTTCAATATAGTTGTAGTATTTCCTTAAGATTTTCGCTTGATTTTATAATGCTAGTCTGTTTATGTATTTATAAATTATGTAAGTTTTATTCAATGTTTATTTCCAGAAAATTGTGAAATTGCCCATCTGGGTTTCAAATTGTATTTAGATTGGTAAAATTGCAAACCCAAAATTAATAAAAAAAAATAAAACCACTTCTATAAAAAGTAGACGGAATTAAATACTTCATATTTTTATGTGAAAAAGTATGGAACAGCATGAGGCTGAGTAAATAATGTAACTATTTTAATGTTTGGGTGAACTCTTCCTTTAATCTTCAATATAGTTGTAGTATTTCCTTAAGATTTTCGCTTGATTTTATAATTAAAGATTTTCAGTTGATCATTTCAACATTTAAGCCATATCCACTCATGCATGTCTCCTTGATGGAAACACAAAGCATGTAACAATCAAATTTGATCCCCTCTTCCCTGTGGTTCCCCCTCCTGGCATAAACATCCTTTGTAATTAAGTCGGAGTAATGAAATGTATCCCACATCCCTGATCTTGGGTCTGTATCCTTGTTTTACAGGCTCTAGTGAAAAGAAGTCCCAGCAGTGGAATGAGCTCCACCATGAAGGAGTCCTCGGCGTTCCAGAGCGAGCTGCGCATGCCGGAGAGCGTCATCCGTCACCAGAGCTCCTCACCCGCGGACAAGGGAAAAGTCACCATCTGTGATGGCAAGAGCAGTGATCAAGACAAACCTAAGAAGAGCAGCGTGTGTAAAAACATCGAGGGCTGCAGAGAGGATCTGCTTATCCAAGTGGTATGAGAATTTCTTTGCTCTTCACTCTCTTTTGATATTAGAAGTGCATCTGACTCACTGCAATCATTATTTTTCGCAGGCGAGCTCCTCCACAGCAGCCCTGGTGCTGGAGTTGCTCATTTTCCTAATGGACGCCATTCAGACCAATTTCCAGCAGGCATCGGCGGTGGGCAGCAGCAGCCGGGCTCAGCACGCTCTCAATGAATTACACACTCAAGACAAGACGGTTGAGATGACAGATCAGCTCATGGTATGAACCAAACACCTGAAGACTAATTCTAACACACACATCGATACTTGACTTTAAACTTGTTTTTATCCTCCAGGTTCCCACACTGGGCTCACAAGAGGGCGCTTTTGAGAATGTCAGGATGAACTACAGTGGAGATCAAGGACAGACCATCCGTCAGCTCATCAGTGCCCATGTGCTGCGTCGGGTGGCCATGTGTGTGCTGTCGTCCCCTCACGGACGCAGACAACACCTTGCTGTCAGCCATGAGAAGGGCAAGGTAATCCAGAAATCCCGGACACGAGTTTGTGTCTTAGCTACTTTGTGTTTAATTGTGACTACATGGAGGCTGGCTATATTTTTTGCAGATCACAGTTCTGCAGTTGTCTGCGCTGTTGAAGCAGGCTGACTCCAGTAAGAGGAAACTGACTCTGACTCGCCTGGCTTCCGCTCCAGTCCCCTTCACAGTGCTTAGTCTCACAGGAAACCCCTGTAATGAGGACTATCTGGCAGTGTGTGGACTCAAGGTACAACCGCTGACAAAACTATGAAGGAATTATTTCAGAGTTTCCGCTGAATAATTTCACTGGGAGATTTAGGAATTATTTCACAGGTTTGTTTCCACTGACTTTTGTCTTGTTTCTCTGTTTCACATCTACAGGACTGCCACGTTCTGACATTCAGCAGCACAGGCTCCGTCTCAGATCACTTAGTCCTGCATCCTCAACTTGCCACTGGAAACTTCATCATCAAGGCCATATGGCTTCCTGGATCACAGACTGAATTGGCTATCATCACTGCTGATTTTGTCAAGGTGAGTAATTGTACTTGTTATGGAAATGCTTATATATATATATATTGGCCTGGCCAAAATTTGGCCAATAATCATCTGTTCTCATGCATTTTAACGACCAATTCGTTTGTCAGTTTCAAAATGTGTGAACGATTTATAATGCATGTTTTCTTGTAAACATTTAGTCTTTTTTTTTTTTTTTAATAGTTTGGAAAATAAACAATATATATTCAAAAAATTACAAATATGTTTGGGCTTAGTAATATATATATATATTTTTTTTAAAGAAGTCTTTCTTGTTCAGCAAAGCTGCATTTATTTGGTCGAAAAAATAGTAAGAACATTATCATTGTTAAATACTATTACAATTTAAATTAAGTTTTCTGTTGGCAGTGCGCTGCACCTGTAGCGTTGCGGGCGTCCTGAGTTCGAATCCCGGCTTGAGGACCTTTCCCGATCCTACCCCCTTCTCTCTCTCCCACTTCACTTCCTGTGTAGTCTACACTACCCTATCTTAATAAAGGCAAAATGCCAAAAAAACAAATCTTTATCCTCAAAAGTGGCAAAAATTTGCCTATATAGTCACGTGTCATCAGTTCTAACTTCTATCAAAAGTAATGTCCCTTAAATCACAATTTTTTGCAGATTTATGACTTATCTGTGGATGCCCTGAGCCCCATGTACTACTTCCTGCTACCAAGTTCAAAGATCAGAGATGCCACATTCCTGTTCAACGAGGAGGGCAAAAACATCATCGTGATCATGTCCTCAGCGGGCTACATGTACACTCAGGTGATGGATGAGTCCAGCAGTGCCCAGCACGGCCCTTTCTACGTCACCAATGTTTTGGAGATCAGCCACGAGGATCTGAAGGTTTTACAATGTTACATTTTCCTATATAGTCAGATAGACTGCAATAAGTTAACCAAGTGGATTCAGAATGCGTTGAGTGTGACCGCATGCTGAGTTTGTTGTGTGTTTGCTTCGCAGGACATTAATGGCCAGGTGGCTGGAGGCGGAGTCTCTGTGTATTACTCCCACGTCCTGCAGATGCTCTTCTTCAGCTACAGTCAGGGCAAGTCATTCGCTGCCACAGTGAGCTGCAGCAACATGGAAACACGGAGACTATTTACCATCAATGTCAAAGGGTAGGATTCCCCTTCTAAATTTGTACAGAACAGTTCAATCTTAAAATTAGATTGTAGCACTCTTTCTCTCAAGTGTTTAGTATTGTTTGTTCTCTTGCACATGCAGATCTAATGGAGGTAGTAAGACGTCTCCAGCTCTCTGTCAGTGGTCAGAAGTCATGAACCACCCAGGCTTGGTGTGCTGTGTCCAGCAGACCACAGGAATCCCGCTGGTCATCATGGTAAAACCAGACACGTTCCTCATCCAGGAGATCAAAACCCTGCCTGCAAAAGCTAAGGTATTTCCTAGTATAGAATATATATTGTGAAACTTTGAATATTTTATTGTATAAAAAAAAAAAAAAACCTGATTGATTTCTGTGATAAGTGTGAATCATTTAATGTTACATCTGTTGTTTTGTATTTTTGTTCCCACCTGCCCACCACTTCTGAGGCTGCACTAATGTTTTTGCTCACTTCCTGTGACTGGCATATGCTCACACTAATTAATTGCTATTAATAATGTTAAATGTGATTAATCACAGAAAACTGTGCATTTAACTTTAAATATAATATCACAGCCTTGGAAATATTATAAAATGATGCATTAAAGTACAAATAATAAATATTTAATAATAATTAAAAAAAGATTTGTGTAGAGATTAGTTTGCATTACTGGTGCATTTTGATGATTATTGATTGCCAGAAATTGAGATTAAAAGCATATTGACACTGAATTTTTATTATCTATCTATATTAAAATTATTGTCTGTTTTAAAAGTACAAATAATAAATATTTAATAACAATTAAAAAGATTAGTGTTTAGATTAGTTTGCATTACTGGTGCATTTTGATGATTATTGAATGCCAGAAATTGATTAAATGCATGTTGACACTGAATTATTATTATCAGTCTATATTAAAATTTCCATAGTCACCCGAGTCCCAAATAGGACATACCGAATAGAACATTCCAGTATCACACACAAGTTGATGAATATCCACTGCTGTGCTCCTCATACCAGAGTCCAATATCTATTAAACATGGCTAAAGTTCTCTTAGGAAATTGTTACTCAGCAAACACTTTCAAAGAAATGTCTACATAAACCCTGAATTACACAACATGAAAATACCCAAAGAAGCCTGCTTGGCATTAAAATCACCCAACCAAATTTAGTACCAATACCAGGGTACCAGAGGCTGGAATGGGCAAAATTGTGTACAATAAATCCTAATAGGGTGCAAACACAAATAAACAATTCTCTCTCTTCCCCTAAGATTCAGGACATGGTTGCAATCCGTCACACAGCAAGCAACGAGCAGCAGCGCACCACCATGATACTGCTGTGTGAAGATGGCAGTCTCCGTATATACATGGCCAACGTGGAGAACACGTCCTATTGGCTCCAGCCCTCCCTTCAGCCTAGCAGTGTGATCAGCATCATGAAACCCGTCCGCAAACGCAAGACAGCCACGGCCAGTGAGTCACGCCACATTTGCTCTGACTAATGACATTGTTTAGTGTTGTTTAGAGAGATTTATGTTGCATTTTGTGTTTTTCCTCATCAGCCACACGCACATCCAGCCAAGTTACTTTCCCTGTGGACTTCTTCGAGCACAATCAGCAGCTGACAGAGGTGGAGTTTGGAGGCAATGACTTGCTGCAGGTTTACAACGGCCAACAGATCAAACACCGTCTAAATTCTACAGGGATGTATGTGGCTAACACCAAGGTAACAAATGGGATTCCAGCTACAGTATCATTTAGAAATTATCATTAATAGGTCGCTAAGACATTCTCACTTTGAGTCATTTATGTTGGTTCCTGTCAACAGCCTGGAGGTTTCACAGTGGAAGTAGTGAACAATAACAACTCAATGGTGATGACAGGAATGAGGGTGCAGGTGGGCACTCAGGCCATTGAGCGAGCTCCCTCTTACATTGAAATCTTTGGGCGCACCATGCAGCTCAACCTGACACGTTCCCGCTGGTTTGACTTCCCTTTCACTCGCGAGGAAGCCCTTCAGGCAGACAAGAAGCTCTCCATTTTCAGTAAGAGCCCAACAGACAAAACAAAAAGAAAAGAAAAATAATTACATTATCAGATTAAATTAGATTAGATAAAAAAATTAAATTACATGACTTAAAAAAAAAAATCTGAATATTATATTGTGAAATAAAATTAAGTAAATAAAATTATAAGTGTGTGCAATAATAATAATAAAAAAAAACACTTTTAATATATTTATATATGTAATTTATATAAATGATCGATTGCAATTTTTAATCATAACTTTTGTTTTTAAAATTGAATTCCATGCATTTAAGCTTTTAACATTAGTGGTGATTATAATGAATAATTCTGATGTTTTTTGTTTCAGTTGGTGCTTCAGTCGACCCAGCAGGTGTCACCATGCTGGACTCCATTAAGATTTATGGCAAAACCAAAGAGCAGTTTGGCTGGCCAGATGAGCCCCCAGAGGACTTCCCCTCAGCTGCAGTCAACAACGTGTGCAGCCCCAACCTAAACCAGAGTAATGGCACCGGAGACAGTGACATCACCAGCCCCATCACTACAAGCGGCACTGTACTGGAGAGGTATACTTTTCTCCTAAGTCTGGGTGCTCTGATTTCAACCTATTAATATGATGTCCTGTAGAGAATATGTCTTCTATCTCTGTCTTCATTTCACTTAATTCACTGCATTTAATCTGTATTATTGTCTCAAGAGTGCCCGTAATTGATGTCAATTGACGTAACTGAAATGAAGAGCAGGGGAGAGAGAAGGGAGTAGGGGAGGGGGTGTGCGTGGCGTGTCCAGTGCATGGCTGCCATCATAATGACCTCGTGCTTGCATGCTTACGTTTCCTGTGTTTGACATACAAATCATTTTTACGCATTTCTTTTCTGTGATCCTCACACATTTTTCTTTTTCTTTGCTCCCTAAAAAAAATGTAAAAAAGTTGTGAAACTGAGTCCTTATCAGCCTTGGACCGGTTAGTAACCGCCCTTTCTCTGCTTGTGTGCATGGTGGTTTGCTCGTGTGTACGTGTGTGTGTGTGTGTGTGTGTGTGTGTGTGTGTGAGAGAGACAGCAGTCAGACTGAGCTTGCTCTGGTGTAGATCATGCAGGACAATTACAGCATTTATAAAGACATTAGTAATATTTAGAATTAGTAATAGGTGTTTTACTTTAATGCTTTTAACATTTGATAGTGTGTTATGGTTTGAATATGGCAATGCTTTGAGAGTTATGTAGAATTGGATTATGTTGGTGTGGACTGCTATCATTTTAATATTATGCATCGTTTTCCCTATCTAACTGTTGTCTGATCTCTAGGTTGGTGGTCAGCTCGCTGGAAGCTCTAGAGAGCTGCTTTGCTGTGGGTTCCCCCAATGAAAAGGTGAGGAAATCTTGTTCTCTTTGTGATTAGGGATTTAGTACCAGTACCAGGTGATCCAAAGTTAGAATACATGTTTAAAATGATGTACGCTCACATAAGATAAAGAATCCATTTCATTTACTTCATAAAATCTGTTTTTCCATGCTGAGATCACATGGCCAGCTGATATACTACTCCCTTTATCTCCATAACCTCGCTGTTATTGGACAAATTAGTCATGGTTGACTCTAAGTAGCTTTTTTTTAATGTGGCATCAGTAACTGAAAACTTTCCAGCAATCTACATCCACACAACTAGGTGTCAGTATAATTCCAAAGATGACAATTATATTGGCCTGTGCAACATTATAAAAAATTATACCTTTAGTATTCATGTAGATGCATTGTAAATAATTCAGTGTCTGTTAAATTTTTATTGTGATGTAACAGTTTGGTTTAAAAAATCATATTGAAAGGTGCCATGGAATGGAAAACCGTATTTACCTTGGCATAGTTGAATAATAACAGTTCTGTACATGGAAATAACGTACCCTGAGCGTACCCTCAAACACCATTGTTTCCTCCTACTTATGTAAATCTCGTGCATGCAAAAGACCACTGAAAAATAGGTGAATCAGAACATAACGACTGTGACATTACAGTCGGGATCACTAATAGTTACGCCCCCAACATTTGCATATACCTGCCCATGTTCTATGCCAGCCGCCAGCCGAACCTGCACAGCCGAATCATCAGAAGTTCTGCAGGTATTGTGAAGAAACAAGCGAGGATAATAGCGAAAATGGCAGATCATGGAAATAAATGTTATGTTCCAGGCTATACAGGGATGGGTTGGTGTCTGTATTCAGAAAGGCACGGAAAACAAATAACGCGAGCCACTAAAGGGACATGGTTAGCTACTTGCTAGCGGTAGCCTGTTACAGGACATGAGATTTCACTTACCACATAAACAGAGTAAGGAGAGACGACTGAGGATTATGGCGAATTATTTGCGGATCCTGAGCACCACTGACAAGCATCTGATCTTGTAAAATGTGTGTTAAGTACTGCCGCTGTAGTTTACACAGAGCACGTGCAATCACAAATCTCAAAAGTGAAAGTAAAAAGCGATCGTGCATTCGAATATATTAATAGCGGCTCCCTGATGCCCGCATTTTATATACAATATAATTACCCAACGATATAACTGCGAGAGAGAGTATCGAAATATATATATATTTTCCCTGTGTTTCCTTCATGCTGCGTGAGCTACTGAAATGATCCGCACTGTGAAACAGCCAATCAGAGCAGAGCTCAACATTATTATTCATGACCCTTCCAAATAAGGTAAAAACAGGCCATTTCATTCTAGGGACAAATCCTAGGGTTGTAAATGGACATGTAAAACCATTTCTGGAGATTTTTTGCCCTTACCTAAGCCACATACCTTCTATGTAGATATCAGAGAACAATTTAAAATATTGTATCAATGCATTCTATGGCACCTTTGAAATATTGGTTTGGTGGTAACTTAAAGGGGTCATATGGCACGATTTCATGTTTTCCTTTCGTAAAGATTAAAGTCTCAAACCCAAAAAGATATTCTTTCTAAAAGTTAAGACTCATCAACGCCCTCCTAAAACACCTCATTCAAACACGCCCCCACAAATCTACGTCACTGTGTGGGAAGATTTGCATAACATCGCCCAAATGTATACTGTAATATGGTAAGGGGCGTAACATTTCCGTCACACGCTTGAGGTATTCGGCCAATGACAACGCACTGGATAGCTGGCCAATCAGCTTTTCAGAACGATGAGCTTTGTAAAAATTGACGCGTTTTCGAAAGGCGAGGCAGAGAGGAGCACAGTATTTGGAAAATAATGGGTTTTTTTATTTTATTTTTTTTTTTACCTTAAACCACGTTAAACACATTTTGTTACACCAAATACACAGTGTTCTTTTTAGCAACGTCATATGACTCCTTTAAAGCCTCTGTTATTTTAGTATAACAGTAATTATTCATATTTTGAATTGGCTTCTTTAAATTATTCATTGAATAAAAAAATAATTTATATTATTTTAAATTCTTTTTTTTGTTTTTTTACATAGTTTTAAAAAAATATTTGATTTCATTTTCTAATTTCTTTAATTTTTTTTATTTCAGTTTTAGTAATTTTAGTACTTCTAGTTCTCATTACAATTTAGTACTTTTTAGTTCAGTTTTTCATTTTATGTTTATTTTAGTTAACAAACTATTTTTAATAGTTTTAATGCAAGATTACAGCACTGCTTTTTGCTGGGTGTGGGGGTTCAGATGGTTTTCATGTGTTTTGATTGACATTTTTATTTGCTTGTGATTTTTCCATACCTACAATCTATAGGAGAAAAATAAAGCTGCTGCTCTAGAGTTGGCCACTCTCCTCCTGTCCATCCCCACTCCTGCTGGAGTACAGCAGCAGACCAAAGGCCTTCTGGCTAGCCTGCACACCAGCCGCACAGCCTACCACAACCACAAGGTACAAACATGATCGCTGCTGATCAGAACTTTATCCTGTGTTAGACATGAATCACCATATCGTTAAGCTCTGCTTTCTAACTGGTGCTTAATCTATGTTTAGGATCAGTCTCTGCTTAGCAACGCAGTACAGTGTCTGAACAGCTGCAGTAAAGAAGGAAAGGAGCTGGACCCTGATGTGTTCCAGAGACTGGTGATCACAGCCCGCTCCATCGCCATCATGAGACCCAACAATCTTGTGCACTTCACTGAGTCCAGACTTCCTCAGTCAGACACTGGTACACCCATTGAACCTCTTAGACTTTCATCTTGTTGTCCTTTTATGTGCCTTTTCATAAAGTCAGTTTTTTTTTCTCTTCAGATGTAGGTGATGATGGGAAGGATGGACTGAAACAAGCTGATACCGAGAGCTGTAGCTTCATCATGCAGCTGGTCACTAACTTCTGGAAGCTTCATGCTCTCAAACCCAAAAATGCATTTTTGGCTCCCGCCTGTTTGCCAGGTACATAGTCACACAGTGGTATTTATTGATTTGAGACACACTAGGAGTTCATTGATTTATTGTTTTAGGAATCTGACACATTTTTACGTTTTTCATTTAGGTCTAACTCACATTGAAGCCACAGTCAATGCACTGGTTGATATCATCCACGGTTACTGCACCTGTGAGCTGGATTACATCAATGTGGCATCTAAAATCTACATGCAGATGCTGCTCTGCCCTGTACGTGTTCTATTGTCGTTCTTCTCCATAATCCATACATTGAGAACAATTAATATTGCAATTCTTACATCTTTTTCATCTACAGGACATCTCTGTGAGCTTTGCTTGCAAACAGGCTCTGATTAGAGTTTTGAGACCCAGAAACAAATGCAGGCATGTGACCTTGCCTTCTCCTCCACGGTCCAACACGCCCATGGGTATGAGCTGTGCCTTTCAGCTTTGTGACTTGTGAATCACACAAACACCTCACAATGAATCAGCCCCAAAAATAATGCGTTGCTGTGCTTTCATGTCCTAGGAGATAAAGATGACGACGATGATGATGATGCTGATGAGAAGATGCAGTCCTCCATCATGACGGGAGGGGAAAGCGGCAGGCAGGAGAGTCAAGAACAAAGCGAGGTGGACCACGGAGACTTTGAGATGGTGGTGAGTTTGGCAACCACTATGAGTCCAGCTGTTGGACACTTAGAAGTGTTAATATGACAATGATTACACTGTGATATGTATGTATGTAAGCAAACTAACATGTATTGAATCAATAATAAAAAAAAAATGTAAGGAAAGTTATTGGGCAATAATAATGATCATCTTTAAATTATGCAAGGTCATATAATTATATAATTATATACCACGTAATGAACAAATAATCATCACAAGTCAAGGTGCATTCAAAAATTTTCATATTCCAGAATGTGCACAATTAATCAGGAAGAAAACAACAACAATCAACTAACTTTGCCCAAATGGATTCATCAAGTAAACTGAGAACACTAAAAAGTCTAATTCATGCTTTTAAATGCCCCCCAAAAAGTTTCCAAAACATCTGTTTTGAACACTCTAATGAAATATTTGAGATGGAGGTAGTTGCTTTAAAGTAAGTCTTTTTCAAACTACTGCAGACCGCATTTTACGTAGCGGGTACGCATTTTGACCTTAAAATACGCTGGTACGATTTGTCACTCTAAACTACGCAAAAACCCGGTGACCTGTCCACGCGCAGTAAACAAGCAACAGAAAAAGATGAGGAGTTCAACCAATCAGAGCGGTTTCCGTGTTTTTTTTTTTTTATTTCTCCAAACTGGCTCCGTTTGTGAGTCGTGCGCTGAGATGAGGAAACACGTGTATGGTATTTCCTGGGGTCGTGAGCTCTATTTCTTCGGTGATGCATATGTGGACTTTCTACGCAGGGGCACCCTCTAGTATCCAGCATGAATGAAACAGACATTACATGTGTTCATAGCACTAAATAATGGGCAATCTATAAAAATAATACTTCTCAAAATAAATTTAAGGTAGACGTGATAATCCATGTTTTTCTACAGTGTACAACAATGTACTGGAGTGTTTTTTTTTTTTTAATAGCATTTAAAATCGCTAAAAATAACTGTTGTGCCAAACCATCAGAACCAAACTGAAAACTGTGTTTAAAAAAACTGAGGTATTTATTGAACCTTGGGCTAACTGTATTGTTGCATTCCTACGGTTTACTCTAAAATATTGTATAACAGGAATATCACAAACTGAGTGCAGACTCTGAGTACTAACCTATGAAAAATATTTAACATGAAGTCTAGCATTTTGCACATTGTGCAATTACGAGTTTGACATTAGCCATCAAGGAGCTTCAAGTAATGTAGGAATAGGCTATATGACCCCCCCGGTAACACTGATGGTACTCAAAAAAATGTTCAAAGGTTGGCAGGTCTGCTACTGTATGTAAAGAAGGCGGTTGTTATGTAATCCCCTCTCCTCTCTGTGTTTGATCTGCAGTCTGAGTCTATGGTCCTGGAGACGGCTGAGAATGTGAACAATGGAAACCCCTCTCCTCTTGAAGCTCTGCTAGCAGGGGCGGAGGGCTTCCCACCCATGCTGGACATCCCTCCAGACGCTGATGATGAGACCATGGTGGAGCTGGCTATAGCGCTCAGTCTGCAACAAGACCAGCAAGGTCACTGTTTACACTTTTCTGTCCTCTCATGAAATGGACGCTGCTGGTCAAATGTTTGGAATTAGTACATTTTGTATTATAATTTTTTTTTAAGTGTGTTATGCACACCAAAGACAGTGATATTGTGAAATATTATTATATATCTATAATATATTTAATTATTATATTATATATTTATATTTATAATATATTTTAAAACTTAATTTATTCCTGTGATGGCAAAACTTTTCTGCAGTCGTTACAGTTTTGCCATCACAGGAAAAAATACATTTTAAAACGTATTAAAATGGGAACTGTTCTTTGTAATCATATTTTACAATATTACTGTTTTACTGTATTCAGCAAATAAATGCGGTCTTGTTGAACATTAGAGACTTAAAAAAAAAAAAAAGCTTTAAAAATCGTAATTGTTCCAAACTTTTGACCGGTAGTGCATATGGTCATTCCTTGTCTAATGTGGAGTGTATGTTATCTCTGCAGGCAGCAGCAGCAGTGCTTTGGGCCTACAGAGTCTGGGCCTATCTGGTCAGGCCCCAAGCTCCTCATCACTGGACGCAGGAACCCTTTCAGACACCACTGCATCAGGTAACTGCACCCATCTCTCCACAAGACACTCTTTCAGTCAGGGTAGACAATCTGACAATTTTATATTGTGGTCTTTTATGCCCTTGTAATAATATAATAATAAAACTACAGCAATGACTGCCTTCTAGATGGCTGTGCTGGCTGGCCAATTTATACCATATGTCTGTATCATGTGTCTTAAATTCATTGTGACACATTTGAAAAACATTTCAGCGTGAGCTAGCACCAGAGCTGTGTGACAAATCAAATTTTTCGTTCTGTTTTGATTTCAAATGGAGCGGAACATGAACAAGCAAAGTATATTTGAGGTTTCAGGTGCATGCCTAAATGGTTAAATATACACAAAAAATATCTCAATGTCCATCTCAAGTATTTACATGAAGTCAGTCAGTTATGTCGCAAGTGAACATAAATGGTTGGAAAAGAAATGCGTCAGTATATTAGATCTGTGCATTCAGTCTACTGAAATACCTGCTGCTGACTCTGTCATTAATGTCAAACAAAAGAGAGAAAATCATTCACTGCTCTTGACTGAATAACTTTAGTAGCTTTAATAAGAATCAATTTAATTCATAAAGTGAAGACTATGCAGTGATTTAAGTTTAACTTAGGTTTTAATGACCATTTTGACAGCTGATTGTTTAATGCAATACTGTGTTTTAAATTGTGCAAACTGATAAGTCCATAGGCTTGTTCCAGTCTGGATATTCTCAATAGTACATCTCAAAATTGGGAAGATTGTGATTCAGATCGTGATTGAGTTAAAAAAAAAATTTGTGACGATATTTTGGGAAGATTGTCCACCCCTACTTTCTGTCATGCTCACTGCATGCTCACCCAGCATTCCTCTTGTCATTCCTTCATGTCCCATTATTCCTTTCAATTACAATAATTTTCAAACATATGGCTGTTTTTCTATGTATATATTTGTGTGCACCTTTAGAAACCCCCCTTAGCAAAGCCTGCTGTTTTTTTCCTGTAACAGCTCTGGTTATGCTTTCAGCCCCAGCCTCGGATGATGAGGGGAGCACAGCGGCCACAGATGGCTCCACGCTGCGCACCTCTCCCGCCGAGCACGGGGGCAGCGTGGGCTCTGAGAGCGGCGGCAGCGCCATCGACTCTGTTGCAGGAGAACACAATGGTAAGACTGAATTTTTACTGTTTGTCTGATGTTTTTGAATGTAAATTATTTTGAAGTGGATTGTTTTGGAAAGTTTCATCAACTCAGGATGATGTGTGTGTTTCAGTGTCTGGCCGCAGCAGTGCTTATGGGGACACAACTGTTGAAGGACACCCTGCAGGGCCGGGCAGCGTGAGCTCCAGCACAGGAGCCATCAGCACCACCACGGCCCAGCATGAAGGAGACGGATCAGAGGGCGAAGGAGAGACAGAGGGCGACATCCACACCAGCAACAGGTCTGTCTACATGATGGAGCACTTGTCTCCTACTATAAACTAGAATAAAATGCCCTTTATGTACTGTCTCACTCCTTTCTCCAGGCTGCACATGGTGCGTTTGATGCTCTTAGAGCGTCTCTTGCAGCATCTGTCCCAGCTCCACACTGTAGGTGGAGTTCAGGCCATCCCCTACATGCAGGTCATCCTCATGCTGACCACAGATTTGGATGGAGAGGACGAGAAAGACAAGGGAGCACTGGATGACCTTCTGGCCCAGCTCATCGCCGAGCTCAGCATGCATAAGAAGGTGAGACTACATTAAGAGAGAACTTTTTTCTTAATGCATTTGTCTTGTATGGAAACAGAATATGGATTGTCATTTTTGGTTTCCAGGATGTTTCAAAGAAGAATGAACGCAGCTCCATAAACGAGGTGCACCTGGTCATCATGAGGCTCCTCAGTGTCTTTATGTCCCGCACCAAGTCTGGCTCAAAATCCTCCTCTGAGGTAACTCTCAGCTTCAGTCTGGTAATACAGTGCTCAAAAGGCTTTGTTCTAAAGGTTTAAATATAATTTTTTAAACTACAAATCCTGAGAATTAAACTTCGTTCCAAACTACCAGTCAAAAGATAAGATAAGACGAGTCGATAAGATTTTTCTTTCTCTCTTATGCTCACAAAGGCTGCATTTATTCGATTAAAAAAACGCAGTAAAAATAGTAATATTGTGAAATTTTACAATTTTAAATAATAGTTTCGCATTTGAATATATTTTAAAGGGTAATATATTCCTGTGGTTGCAAAGCTGAATTTTCAGCATCATTACTCCAGTTTTCAGTGTCACACGATCCTTCAGAAATCATTGTAATATGCTGATTTGCTGCTCAAGAAACATTTCTTATTGTTATTATCAATGGTAAAATGGTTGTGCTGCTTAATATTTTTGTGGAAAGTAATTTTTATAGGAACCTTCGGTTAATAGAACATTGGCAAATAATTTAATATTAGTTTAATGTGTTTCTTATTGTTATTATCAATGGTAAAATGGTTGTGCTGCTTAATATTTTTGTGGAAAGTAATATTTTTATAGGAACCTTCGGTTAATAGAACATTGGCAAATAATTTAATATTAGTTTAATGTATCCTTGCTGAATAAAAGCAGTACTTCCTTTCTTTAAAAAAAATTATACTTCCTTTTTTAACATTTAACAGTTTTTAGTTATTTGAGAAATAAAATATAACTATCAGTTGTGACCCTGGACCACAAAACCAGTCATAAGGGTCAATCATCATCTGAAGCTTTCCATTGATGTATGGTTTGTTAGGATACAAGTATTTGAAAACCTGGAATCTGAGGGTGCAAAAAAATCCTAAAATTTAGAAAATCGCCTTTAAAGTCGTCCAAATTAAGTTCTTAGCAATGCATATTACTAATCAAAAATTAAATTTTAATATAGTTACAGTAGGACATTTACAAAATATCTTCATGGAACATGATCTTTACTTAATATCCTAATGATTTTGGGCATAAAAGAAAAATCAATAATTTTGACCCATACAATGTATTTTTGGCTATTGCTACAAATATACCCCAGCGACTTAAGACTGGTTTTGTGGTCCAGGGTTACATTTATTTTCTTATATATTTTTAGGAAATGTATTATTGAAGTATACTTTTAAGAAATCTGCCAATAATTTACATTTGATAAAATGGTCAGCATTTAAAATGATTGATTGGCAGCCACACTATTTGATTGGAATTTGACTTTCCTCCTCAATTTTTATTTTTTTTATACCTAGTGTCTTCCTGTATGGGACATAAGCTTACATTAACACTGTTTTGCTTCAGGAAGTTTACATTTCTAATACTATTGTTTACATGTTTCTACTAGGTTCAGTTTGCAGAGCAGTGAATGTGAAAACCGTTAAATAATTCAGTTTCATCTCTGTTTACTTGCCAGTCGTCTTCTCTCATCTCCAATGCAACAGCTACCGCTCTGCTCAGCATGGGAGCGATAGACTACTGCTTGCATGTGCTCAAATCCCTGCTGGAGTTCTGGAAGACTCAGCAGGGCGAGGAGGAGCCAACGGCCACCAGTCAGCTCCTAAAACCCCACACTTCCTCCTCACCCCCAGACATGAGCCCCTTCTTCCTGCGTCAGTATGTCAAGGTACAGGTTGGGTCTTAAAAATCTTGCTCTTGTGTATATGTATTGCATAAGAAAAATCATGATCTTTAAATTATGGGTGATTCTCAGGGCCATGCTGCTGATGTGTTTGAAGCGTACTCTCAGCTTCTCACCGAGATGGTTCTCCGACTGCCATACCAGATCAAGAAAATCGCAGACGCCAACCCGCGCATCCCACCGCCAATCTTTGATCACTCCTGGTTCTATTTCCTGTCAGAGGTAATGCACGTAATTCACTTTTGGCCTGTGCTGGAGAGTTTTCAGTGAATAATTTAGCATGAATCAACTTTCTTCAATCATCTTTCAGTATCTGATGATCCAGCAGACGCCGTTTGTGAGGCGACAAGTGAGGAAGCTCCTGCTGTTCATCTGTGGCTCCAAAGAGAAGTACCGTCAGCTCCGAGATCTCCACACGCTTGACTCCCACGTGCGGGGCATCAAGAAGCTTCTGGAGGAGCAGGGAATCTTCCTGAGAGGAGGAATCGTGACTGCAACATCTGGCTCTGCTCTACAGTATGACACACTCATCAGTTTGGTGAGTAAACAGGCTTGTGTGACGCCCTATGAATTTTACTCTTCTTTGAGTTCGGATTAGCATGAACTTTCTTCCTTTTACACAGATGGAGCACCTTAAAGCATGTGCTGAAATAGCCACTCAGAGAACGATCAACTGGCAGAAGTTCTGCATGAAGGATGACTGTAAGTGTACAATGTGGCTTACTTTTACATTTGTGACCCTGGACAACAAAACCAGTCATAAGTAGCACGGGTATATTTGTAGCAATAGCCAAAAATACATTGTATGGGTCAAAATTTTATGTAAAAAGTCAAGATATTAAAGGTGATTGTCTTCAGAAATGTTTTTTGTTATGCTGGTTGAAAGTCTCTTCACATCCCATAGCAATTATTAAGTTAAGTGGTCTAAATGTATTTGTCTGTATTTATATATTCTGTGGAAGGCGTAGGATCAAGAAATGTTCGTCCAATCAAAACGCTAAAACCGAGCGTTTTAATATGCTTTACTACCTGCCTGTCAACGTATGTATGAGCATACCTCTGCGCACCCTGTTCGCGCAGACAGGATACGTCATCAGCGCGTTCACGCACGCTATGCAGACAGAGCAAGGATGGCAGGCAAACATCAACAACCCGATCTTTCTTCCTGGTATTGTAGTACTTTTAAAGATTTCTCACCGGTGAATAACACATGATGTAGCCCAGCGGTTAATCTAGTCCTCGCGCCAGCTCGTTAGAAGTGAGCTACGTGCATGAACTGTGTTCTGATCGATATGATCCCTACCAGAGCATGTGAGCGGAGTGGTAATATTTCCTTAAGAGCGCTTTCTGAAGATTCCGCTCCGCTCGCTCAACCCAGAATGCCGTTTGGTGATTTGCTTGTTCGAGATCGACAATCTGTAGAGATTGAGAATAGTGGAGCAGTTATGGAGTTCAGATATTGTTTCAATGAAGTTGCAAGCCTTATACATAAATGTAAAGTAAAAATCAAAGTTAAGAATGAGTAGGGAGAAGAAACTGAGAGGGAGTGCGGGAGACTGTTAAAGTTAGTACAGATTCATATTGATTACAGAAAGCACGAAGATGTGCTACGCAAACATGGTGCAGCAAAAGGTGAGCTAGTTACATACCATAATAAATGAATAAACAGGTAGGCTAAGGTTATATTCGGTTGTACGGAGTCCCGATCATGAATTATTATATTTCGTAATTACTTATTAAAATCATTATTGCTTAAAATTAATACATAATAATAAATTAATTTTAAAAAATAATAAAACCTGCCGACGTCGTAGAAACTAATTGTTAATTCGAATTATATTCGGAGCTCCGTATAAATAATCTCAGGTAAACTGTAGACCTAAGCTAACACACAGCTGTATATAGGCCTAAATACAGAACTACAGAGTACAGAAGATACTAGCCTACACCACTTAGGCCTATTAAAATATTATAAAAAAAATTAAAACTGACCCGAACCAATAGGTAGTCCTACAGAATGTAGGCTAGATATAGGCAGCAGTAATGTATAATCTAATATAATGCACGCAAATTTGTTCTTTACAGAACGGAGCAGGATCTGAGCGGGAATTGGTTTACGGTGAGCGTGAGCGGAATATTAACGGAGTGCTTGCTTGGGCGGTTAGAGCGACTGAGTGGAGCGCACGTCCATAGAGCGGAAAACGAAGCGGCTTCGCTCACATGCTCTGATCCCTACACAGTGTTCATTGCTCCCTACTCCCTGAGCGGGGGAAATCCGTTGAAGTTTACTTCACTTCAGAACATGGGCTGGAATTGGGAACCTGATGTAGCCTAATGTAGTAATGTTGTCTCTGGTCTGTGAGTGTAAATGCGCTCAGGGGGCGTGGCTTTGGACGGCGATTGCAGGGAGGGTGGGACGTTCGCTTTCAGTGCTATCAGGCTAAAGTTAGCATTTTCCAAGATCTCCTATTGCACCTTTAAGTAAAGATCATGTTCCATGAAGATATTTTGTAAATTTTCTACCGTAAATATCAAAACTTAATTTTTGATTAGTAATATGCATTGCTAAGAACTTCATTTGGACAACTTTGAAGGTGATTTTTCTCAATATTTTGATTTTGTTGCACCCTCAGATTCCATATTTTTTTCCATATACATTTATGGTTGTATCTCGGCCAGATATTGTCCTATCCTAACGAGAACCATACATCAATGGAAAGCTTATTTGTTCAGAAAAAAATTACCCTTATGACCGGTTTTGTGGTCCAGCATTGCATTTGGCAGATGTTTTTATCCAAAGTGACTTGCATTTGCAGTTCTTGCTTTCCCTAGGATCGAACCCATGAGCTTGGCGTCACTTGTGGTACTAATCGAATTCTTTCACTCTATGTAGCGGTGTTGTACTTCCTGCTGCAAGTGAGTTTCCTGGTGGATGAGGGTGTTTCTCCGGTCCTGCTGCAGCTGCTCTCTTGTGCTTTATGTGGCAGTAAAGTCCTGGCGGCCTCCTCCTCTGGAGCTTCAGGTGGAGGTTCTGGAGGTTCATCTCAGCCCTCTCAGAGCAAATCATCCAGCAAGAAGAGCAAGAAAGAGGACAAGGAAAAAGACAAAGAAGGTTTGATGATCTTTGAGCAATAACCAACTATCATTAGGATTAATAATAATAATAAATGGCACTTTTCTCAATGTTCCTGTTGTGTTTTCTGCAGGAGATGGAGCTGGCAGTCAGGAAGATCAGCTGTGTACAGCTCTGGTCAGTCAGCTCAATAAATTTGCAGATAAGGAGACGCTTATTCAATTCTTGCGTTGCTTCCTGCTCGAGTCCAACTCTTCATCTGTGCGCTGGCAAGCCCACTGCCTCACACTGCATATCTACAGGTACTTAGATACTACATGCAAGCACCTTCCCTAAACGCACTCTCTCATGTCCTGTGCTTTGAACGTGGTCCAGAAGTTCCATCATGTTAAATCAAATGAATATTTACCTCGCAGGAACTCAAACAAATCCCAGCAGGACTTGCTGCTTGACCTGATGTGGGCCATTTGGCCAGAACTACCAGCTTATGGTCGTAAAGCAGCTCAGTTTGTGGACCTACTTGGATACTTCTCGCTTAAAACACCTCAGACGGAAAAGAAGGTAGTAATACTCGAATATGTGATTCGGTATTAAATGACTGAGTAGAATTTGATTTATAATTTATGAACATACACTGCTGTTCAAAATTTTGGGGTCAGATTAGGATAGGATTTCTTAAAGATGTTTTTATGCTCACCAGGGCTGCATTTATTTGATCAAAAATACAGTAAAGAGTGACATTGTGAAATTACAATAACTGTGTTCTATTTGAATATATTTTATAATGTCATACTAAATTAAACAGTTGTGCTTAATATTTTTTTCAGGTTTCTTTGATTATAAAGGTTCGTAACATTGCAAATGTTTCATTTGATCATTGTAATGTGTCCTTGCTGAATGAAAGTATACATTTATTTCAAAAGAAAATAATACAAAAGAAAATCTTACTAACCCCAAACTTTTGAGTGGTAGTGTAATAGGTTGGTCATTTATAAGATTTAAAATGTTAGTGTGAGTGTTTTGCCTTGCAGCTAATGTTTTGATTCTGTGTTTTCCAGCTGAAGGAATACTCTCAAAAGGCTGTAGAAATTTTGAGGGCACAGAACCACATCCTGACCAATCATCCCAATTCAAATATATACAAGTAAGTGTTCCCAGCATGATCTCATTGGACTGGGTTATTTTGGGTCATGGATGCGATAACATCCCTTAATTTTAAATTTTTTCACACTTATCTTCTCAGCACCCTCTCTGGACTGGTGGAATTTGATGGATTTTTCCTGGAGAGTGATCCTTGCTTGGTGTGCAACAATCCTGAAGTGCCCTTCTCTGTGAGTGATGTTCATGACATGTCACTTTTAATGGATGTTTTAGTTGCTATGGTTCTAAATGTTGGACTACTTTATTCCCTGTGTTCTTAGAACATCAAACTCTCATCTATCAAAGTGGACACACGTTACACCACCACTCAGCAAGTGGTGAAGCTGATTGGCAGCCACACTATCAGCAAAGTCACTGTGAAGATTGGCGATCTTAAGAGAACCAAGATGGTTCGCACGATCAACCTTTACTACAACAACAGGACTGTACAAGCTATTGTAGAGCTGAAGAACAAGTGAGCATACTCAAAATGTTTTGGAACAATGTTTGTAGACATTTGATGATAAATTGAGATAATTTGACATTTGTGTTCACAGACCTGCTCGCTGGCACAAAGCTAAGAAGGTGCAGTTGACCCCTGGCCAAACTGAAGTGAAGATCGACCTCCCTCTCCCCATTGTGGCCTCCAACCTGATGATCGAATTTATTAAAATATTTATTTTGATCAATGTAATGCATCCTTGCTGTGAAAAAGTATACTTTTCTTTCAAAAGAAAAAATGTTTTTTTTAAAATCTCAAACTTTCGTATGGTAGTGTATTAGGTTAGTGATTTACAAGATTGAAAATGTTGGTGTGAGTGTTTTGCATTGCAATTAGTGTTTTGATTTTGTGTTTTCCAGCTGAAGGAATACTCTCAAAAGGCTGTAGAAATTTTGAGGGCACAGAACCACATCCTGACCAATCATCCCAATTCAAATATATACAAGTAAGTGTTCCCAGCATGCTCTCATTGGACTGGGTTATTTTGGGTCATGGATGCGATAACATCCCTTAATTTTAAATTTTTTCACACTTATCTTCTCAGCACCCTCTCTGGACTGGTGGAATTTGATGGATTTTTCCTGGAGAGTGATCCTTGCTTGGTGTGCAACAATCCTGAAGTGCCCTTCTCTGTGAGTGATGTTCATGACATGTCACTTTTAATGGATGTTTTAGTTGCTATGGTTCTAAATGTTGGACTACTTTATTCCCTGTGTTCTTAGAACATCAAACTCTCATCTATCAAAGTGGACACACGTTACACCACCACTCAGCAAGTGGTGAAGCTGATTGGCAGCCACACTATCAGCAAAGTCACTGTGAAGATTGGCGATCTTAAGAGAACCAAGATGGTTCGCACGATCAACCTTTACTACAACAACAGGACTGTACAAGCTATTGTAGAGCTGAAGAACAAGTGAGCATACTCAAAATGTTTTGGAACAATGTTTGTAGACATTTGATGATAAATTGAGATAATTTGACATTTGTGTTCACAGACCTGCTCGCTGGCACAAAGCTAAGAAGGTGCAGTTGACCCCTGGCCAAACTGAAGTGAAGATCGACCTCCCTCTCCCCATTGTGGCCTCCAACCTGATGATCGAATTCTCTGATTTCTATGAGAACTACCAGGCGTCTACGGAGACCCTGCAGTGTCCTCGTTGCAGCGCCTCTGTTCCTGCCAATCCAGGTGTCTGTGGCAACTGTGGAGAGAATGTGTATCAGTGCCACAAGTGCAGGTACGCATGGTTTGAGTATTGTACAAAGACCCAAGAAAACTGACAGAATTGCAGTAAAATTGTGATTGGAATTGTCTGTTTTGAATTTTCCAGATCCATTAATTATGACGAGAAGGACCCATTCCTGTGCAATGCCTGTGGTTTCTGTAAATATGCACGCTTTGACTTCATGCTGTATGCAAAACCCTGCTGTGCTGTGGATCCTATTGAAAACGAAGAAGATAGGAAAAAGGTAGAGCAGGCATAAATATCTAATAAATGTCCATTTATGTGCATTGTGCAATGTAAAACAGGAATGTGTACAGCTACAAACGAAAGACACAAACAGACCTGGTCAAGTGAGGAATAGTCTAAATTTAAACACACATGCTGAAATTGCATTGAAATTACGAGTTAACTTACTAAAATGTACGTTAATGATTTATCGTGTCCAGGCTGTTACCAACATCAACACTCTACTAGACAAAGCTGACCGTGTTTACCACCAGCTCATGGGTCACAGGCCGCAGCTGGAGAGTCTGCTGTCTAAAGTAAATGAGGCTGCACCTGAGAAACCACAGGTCAGTGTGTCAGCTTCTGCTTCAGACAAATAAATTACTTTTCTCTCTTGAATTACCCAAATGAGTTTTGGGTGTGTTGTTCATGTTTTCATGGCTCTTCACAGGATGATACAGGAGCAGGCGCTGGTCTCGGCACCTCCACTGCCAGTGTCAATCGGTACATTCAGCAGCTGGCACAGGAATACAGCGGAGACTGCAAGACTTCATTCGATGAGCTCTCCAAAATCATCCAGGTTAGAGATAAATAGAGTTGTTACTGTGCCAGAATGGTATTCGAGAACAATACCAGAGAATTTTCACTTATTATTTTTCCGTTATGAAAAAAAAAGTTTTTTTGATGATTTATTTGTTATATAATTTGCTGTTTAGTGTTGATGATAATTTTACATTATAATGAAATACTAATGTTTTAATAATTAAAATATATTATTATTGCTATTTTATTTATTAGTGTTATTTTATTATCAATCTTAAGTGTTGATCATTTTTACATTATGTAATTTATTTATGCAGCTAGTGATCATTCTATATAATTATAAATAATTTAATGAATAAATGTGTTTAATAAATGTAATAGATGGTTAAAAAAAAATAATATTTAACCAATAAAATCATTTTATTATAAAACAGTTGTTGTAAACAGTTTTTATTTCTCATTCAGAAAGTGCTTGCATCGCGTAAGGAGCTGCTGGAGTATGACCTGCAACAGCGGGAAGCTGCTACCAAATCATCCCGCAGCTCCACACAACCCACCTTCACAGCCAGCCAATATCGAGCTCTGTCTGTACTGGGATGTGGGTACACGTCCTCCACCAAGTGCTACGGCTGTGCATCTGCAGTCACGGGCCACTGCATCACTCTACTGCGTGCACTGGCAACCAACACTGCCATCAGGCAGATCCTGGTACTGCAGGGTCTCATCCGAGAACTGTTTGAGTACAACCTGCGCCGTGGCACTGGAGCCATGAGGGAGGAGGTCCGCCAGCTCGTCTGTTTGCTTACCAGGTATATACACACACACACACATCCAAATCTCTGAAGAGACTAACTAATACTGTTTGTTTTACAAGATATCAACTACTTTTGCGTCAATGTATTTTGCAGAGATCACCCAGAAGCCACACAGCAGATGAATGACCTCATTATTGCCAAGGTGTCAGCTGCCCTTAAAGGTCACCGGGCCAACCCTGATCTGGTAACGGTCTTTATTACATAGTAAAGATCACATGTAGCTATTGTTTTTGATGCCTGTGGTAGATCTGTAGTACTTATTTGACTGTTTCTTACAATTGTCGTCTCCTCTCATTTAGGTCAGTAGTTTGCAGTATGAAATGCTGCTTCTTACAGACTCCATTGCTAAGGAGGGAGGATGCTGGGAGCTCAGACTTCGCTGTGGTGAGTCCTGTGGTGGATTTCCAGAGCTAAAAGTCTGAACCTTTATTTTTCCTTAAGCTGTCGATGCCAACCCTGAAGCAACATAAACTACCAAATTTTGATACAAGTTTGATTGCAACATAATTATTGCTGTTAATAGTGTTCATGTTCTGTGTGATTACTGAATTTTAACGTACATTTCTGCCATATGTACATCAATTTGACAGTCACCACTGATAAGCTACTACTAAATATGTTGTAAAAACTTAATTTTCTGTAAAGCTGCTTTGCAACGATTCGTATCTTGAAAAGCTATATACAAATAAACTTGAAATGAATTGAACTGAATTGCTGTAGCTGTTCCACAGAAATATAGTCTCTGTGTCAGATCATATCAGTTATTGGCCTATATTGGAGATGCTGTGATCAATAGTGGATATGTATTGAATTTGTTATATATTGGGTCATCTAATGCTCACTGTTTATCACATATTAATTATATGATAAGTAATTATTAGTGCTGGGCAATGATTAATCACATCCAAAATGTAAGTTTTTGTGTACATAATATATGTGTGTACATTTATTATGTATACATAAATACACATGCATGTGTATATTTAAGAAGAATGTTTATATATTAAATATATTTATGTATAATATAAATTATATGAATATAAATACATTTAAATATTTTCTAAATATATACTTTGTGTGTGTGTTTATAAATACATAATAAATATACACAGTACACACGCATATATTATGTAAACTAAAACTTTTGTTTTGGATGCGATTAATCATTGCCCAGCACTAGTAATTATCTTATTTGGTTTGGCCAGATTTTGAATATCTGTGCTTACCTACTCATGCTTCTCTTTTTTTTTAATTCATGTTTTTGTTTACTAAATTATATCCTTATAATAATTATAAAAGTCATAATTATTACATATGTAATTGTGATTATTATATAATTAATATATTGTGTTATGAATAATTAACATTTTATCTGTAATGGCTAGAATTTTAATATTAGTGCTTCCTACTCAAGCCTCTGTTTATTTTCAGCACTGAGTCTGTTCTTGATGGCGGTGAATATAAAGACCCCTGTGGTGGTGGAGAACATTACACTGATGTGCCTGAGGATCCTGCAGAAACTCATCAAACCTCCTTCTCCAACCAGCAAGAAAAACAAGGTTCGACAGACTTGCAGTACTGATGAGGTTTTAATCGATAAGTATTGATGCACTTACCTGATTTGTACTCTCTAACAGGATGCTGCCGTCGAATCCCTGACTACAGTCAAGCCATACAACAACGAGATCCACGCACAGGCCCAGCTCTGGCTCAAAAAAGAGCCCAAGGCCTCTTATGAAGCCTGGAAAAAGTGCCTTCCTGCTAGATGTAAATATCCAAACTCTGCATCAGCAGTGTTTTCCGTTATTTCCATCAAACGGTTTACTTAATTTTGTTCGCTTGTCTATCGCAGGTCAAGAAACGGTCTCTAAACCTTTGAATAAGGCTGAGATCCGGAGGCAGTACCTGATGGAGAAGTACGTGTGGAAGTGGAAGCAGTTCATGAGGTCCAGGTCAGAAGGCCTGTTCCCTCGCCTGCTCAAACTGGGTCATAACAACTGGCTGAGACAGGTATGTGCCCCTCTCAAAGCACTCTAGAGTGTCTGATTCTTTTCTGCTTTAATGTGCTCTAATGTAATCTGACTCTTCTCACAGGTGCTCTTCACCCCAGCCACCCAGGCAGCAAGACAGGCGGCTTGCACCATCGTCGAAGCTCTAACAACAATCCCCAGCCGCAAACAGCAAGTTCTGGACCTTCTAACAAGGTACATTTGACATTAATGAATCAAACAATCCTTTTTGGACCAGATTTTTCCATATTAGGCTCAATTGAGCCAGATGTAGGAGTCATTTGCAAGTTTTTGTTGTTTGTTCTTCAGTTATCTGGATGAGCTGAGCATTGCTGGAGAGTGTGCTGCAGAGTACCTGGCTTTGTACCAGAAGCTCATCAAACCTGCTCACTGGAAGGTTTACCTGGCTGCCCGTGGTGTCCTACCATACATCGGCAACCTCATCACCAAGGTATCGTCAAAAAATGTAGATACTATAGGGTTATATAGTGAGGATGTGTCATTTCCATTAACCTAAACTTTATGTGGTGTTCTTCAGGAAATTGCTCATCTACTAGCCCTTGAAGAAGCCACACTGAGCACAGACTTACAGCAGGGATATGCCCTCAAGAGCTTGACAGGTGAATTCAAGCTTTTGTGTCTCGTTCAAGTTAAACTCCGAGAACTTCCTGAGAGCTTGTGGCTTGTTTTAACAGTTTCTCGTCTCTCACAGGCTTGCTGTCCTCATTTGTGGAGGTGGAGTCTATTAAGCGTCACTTTAAGAGTCGGTTGGTTGGCACTGTCCTTAACGGCTACCTGTGCTTAAGGAAGTTGGTGGTCCAGAGAACCAAACTGATCGATGAGACCCAAGACATGCTGCTGGAGATGTTGGAGGACATGACTACAGGTTCCAGCCTTCACCTTTAGATCTTCTCTGAGGTTTTTTGTTATTAAAGACCAAATCAGCTCAATCCTATATCTTCTTTTATAGGGACGGAGTCGGAGACCAAAGCATTCATGGCTGTGTGCATTGAAACTGCAAAGCGGTACAACCTGGATGATTATCGCACACCTGTCTTCATTTTCGAGAGGTTATGCAGCATCATTTATCCAGTAAGTAGACTTCAGCTCATTAACATTTTCTTCTAACTTTTGGAATAATGATTTTGGTCAAACTAATTTCTCCCATCTGTGTGTATGAAGGAGGAGAATGAGGTGACGGAGTTCTTTGTTACACTGGAGAAGGACCCACAGCAGGAGGACTTCCTGCAAGGCCGTATGCCAGGAAACCCATACAGCAGTAATGAACCAGGCATTGGCCCTCTCATGAGAGACATCAAGAACAAAATCTGCCAGGATTGTGATCTTGTGGCACTACTGGAGGACGACAGCGGCATGGAGGTGCGTAATCTTAAAAAATTAAAGCATGCATGTCTGCCTATTATAGAATCAAAATCAACTATAGATCACAGTCGGAAGTTACAAGCACTCGATGATGGTTTAAAGTGGATTTTAAGCAAGTACATTAATAACTACAAAAATATTCAAATGTGGCTTGATGCTAATTGTACTTCTGTTTATATTTGAAGATGTTTTCTTGTAAGCATTATAGATAGTTTTTGTTTCTGGTGTAGAACCAAACTTTATTTATATTAAGTTAATGCTATATATTGAGCAGCGGACGATGTTAAAACCATATACGAGATTCATATCTGAGGAAAAATGCATTGTTGGTCAGCGCCATCTAGCATGCAGGCGTGAATTAGCAAAAGGTGATCAATCGTTTCGTGCTCGGTGTGAAAGTGCCGTTCATTGGCGATTCGCCTCGCTTTTTTGTTTTCAGTGTGAAACAGCCTTAACTATGTCAAGTGGCGCAACCAGAAACATGCATGAATGAAAACAAGGTTTTTACATAATTTAAAAATAAATTTAAAAAATACGATTTTTTCCCCCCTTTGTTTTGGGCACTCTTATCTGATCCTTAATTAACATTTTATCTGTAATGGCTAGAATTTTAATATTAGTGCTTCCTACTCAAGCCTCTGTTTATTTTCAGCACTGAGTCTGTTCTTGATGGCGGTGAATATAAAGACCCCTGTGGTGGTGGAGAACATTACACTGATGTGCCTGAGGATCCTGCAGAAACTCATCAAACCTCCTTCTCCAACCAGCAAGAAAAACAAGGTTCGACAGACTTGCAGTACTGATGAGGTTTTAATCGATAAGTATTGATGCACTTACCTGATTTGTACTCTCTAACAGGATGCTGCCGTCGAATCCCTGACTACAGTCAAGCCATACAACAACGAGATCCACGCACAGGCCCAGCTCTGGCTCAAAAAAGAGCCCAAGGCCTCTTATGAAGCCTGGAAAAAGTGCCTTCCTGCTAGATGTAAATATCCAAACTCTGCATCAGCAGTGTTTTCCGTTATTTCCATCAAACGGTTTACTTAATTTTGTTCGCTTGTCTATCGCAGGTCAAGAAACGGTCTCTAAACCTTTGAATAAGGCTGAGATCCGGAGGCAGTACCTGATGGAGAAGTACGTGTGGAAGTGGAAGCAGTTCATGAGGTCCAGGTCAGAAGGCCTGTTCCCTCGCCTGCTCAAACTGGGTCATAACAACTGGCTGAGACAGGTATGTGCCCCTCTCAAAGCACTCTAGAGTGTCTGATTCTTTTCTGCTTTAATGTGCTCTAATGTAATCTGACTCTTCTCACAGGTGCTCTTCACCCCAGCCACCCAGGCAGCAAGACAGGCGGCTTGCACCATCGTCGAAGCTCTAACAACAATCCCCAGCCGCAAACAGCAAGTTCTGGACCTTCTAACAAGGTACATTTGACATTAATGAATCAAACAATCCTTTTTGGACCAGATTTTTCCATATTAGGCTCAATTGAGCCAGATGTAGGAGTCATTTGCAAGTTTTTGTTGTTTGTTCTTCAGTTATCTGGATGAGCTGAGCATTGCTGGAGAGTGTGCTGCAGAGTACCTGGCTTTGTACCAGAAGCTCATCAAACCTGCTCACTGGAAGGTTTACCTGGCTGCCCGTGGTGTCCTACCATACATCGGCAACCTCATCACCAAGGTATCGTCAAAAAATGTAGATACTATAGGGTTATATAGTGAGGATGTGTCATTTCCATTAACCTAAACTTTATGTGGTGTTCTTCAGGAAATTGCTCATCTACTAGCCCTTGAAGAAGCCACACTGAGCACAGACTTACAGCAGGGATATGCCCTCAAGAGCTTGACAGGTGAATTCAAGCTTTTGTGTCTCGTTCAAGTTAAACTCCGAGAACTTCCTGAGAGCTTGTGGCTTGTTTTAACAGTTTCTCGTCTCTCACAGGCTTGCTGTCCTCATTTGTGGAGGTGGAGTCTATTAAGCGTCACTTTAAGAGTCGGTTGGTTGGCACTGTCCTTAACGGCTACCTGTGCTTAAGGAAGTTGGTGGTCCAGAGAACCAAACTGATCGATGAGACCCAAGACATGCTGCTGGAGATGTTGGAGGACATGACTACAGGTTCCAGCCTTCACCTTTAGATCTTCTCTGAGGTTTTTTGTTATTAAAGACCAAATCAGCTCAATCCTATATCTTCTTTTATAGGGACGGAGTCGGAGACCAAAGCATTCATGGCTGTGTGCATTGAAACTGCAAAGCGGTACAACCTGGATGATTATCGCACACCTGTCTTCATTTTCGAGAGGTTATGCAGCATCATTTATCCAGTAAGTAGACTTCAGCTCATTAACATTTTCTTCTAACTTTTGGAATAATGATTTTGGTCAAACTAATTTCTCCCATCTGTGTGTATGAAGGAGGAGAATGAGGTGACTGAGTTCTTTGTTACACTGGAGAAGGACCCACAGCAGGAGGACTTCCTGCAAGGCCGTATGCCAGGAAACCCATACAGCAGTAATGAACCAGGCATTGGCCCTCTCATGAGAGACATCAAGAACAAAATCTGCCAGGATTGTGATCTTGTGGCACTACTGGAGGACGACAGCGGCATGGAGGTGCGTAATCTTAAAAAATTAAAGCATGCATGTCTGCCTATTATAGAATCAAAATCAACTATAGATCACAGTCGGAAGTTACAAGCACTCGATGATGGTTTAAAGTGGATTTTAAGCAAGTACATTAATAACTACAAAAATATTCAAATGTGGCTTGATGCTAATTGTACTTCTGTTTATATTTGAAGATGTTTTCTTGTAAGCATTATAGATAGTTTTTGTTTCTGGTGTAGAACCAAACTTTATTTATATTAAGTTAATGCTATATATTGAGCAGCGGACGATGTTAAAACCATATACGAGATTCATATCTGAGGAAAAATGCATTGTTGGTCAGCGCCATCTAGCATGCAGGCGTGAATTAGCAAAAGGTGATCAATCGTTTCGTGCTCGGTGTGAAAGTGCCGTTCATTGGCGATTCGCCTCGCTTTTTTGTTTTCAGTGTGAAACAGCCTTAACTATGTCAAGTGGCGCAACCAAAACATGCATGAATGAAAACAAGGTTTTTACATAATTTAAAAATAAATTTAAAAAATACGATTTTTTTTCCCCTTTGTTTTGGGCACTCTTATCTGATCCTCTATTGAAATATGTTTTTAAAGATGACTTTTCTTTGCAGCTCCTTGTGAATAACAAGATCATCAGTTTGGATCTGTCTGTTGCTGAGGTCTATAAGAAGGTTTGGTGCCCCACCAATGAGGTAAGCTAAAGAAGATAAAAAGGTACTTTTATTTTTACATATCAACCATGGTTTAAACACTCTGTTTCTTGCAATAAAGGGTGAGCCAATGAGGATCATCTACAGAATGAGGGGGCTTCTGGGAGATGCAACCGAGGAGTTCATTGAGTCTTTGGACTCAACTACAGGTTGGTTTTATGTTGCAGGATCCTTTCTTTAGCATAAGTTTCATTTTTTTCACCATAGTTTATCTCATGTTTCTCACTTGTAATTGGTGTTTTCTCTCTGTTCAGATGAAGAGGAGGATGATGAGGAGGTATATAAGATGGCTGGAGTGATGGCGCAGTGTGGAGGTTTGGAGTGCATGTTGAACAGGCTCTCTGGAATCAAAGATTTCAAACAGGGCAGGCACCTTCTCACAGTGAGTATGAAGTTCACCTCTCTAATTCATCACACACAGATTTCCTCAGAAACTGAAGAAAATTCTAATGATTGTGTTTTGCTTTATAGGTTCTCCTCAAGTTATTTAGTTATTGTGTGAAAGTGAAAATCAACAGACAGCAGCTGGTGAAACCAGAGATGAACACACTGAATGTTATGTTGGGCACATTGAATCTGGTAAGTAACATACCAGAGGAATCATCCGATGAGATCAAATGTAATATTTAAGAGAATATTTGTAATTGATTGTTGTATTTCAGGCCTTGGTGGCAGAGCAGGAGAGCAAGGACAGTGGGGGAGCATCCATAGCAGAGCAGGTTCTTAGTATTATGGAGATAATCCTGGATGAGGCCAATGCGGAAACTGTGTCTGAAGACAAGGTCATTAAGACATTTTGATTTATGCAATGAATATTACAACAAAATAGAAGGGAGACAGCTGTATTCATATCTCTCTGTTGTGTTTCTCCTCCAGGGTAACCTGCTGCTGACGGGTGATAAGGACCAGCTGGTGATGCTGCTGGACCAGATCAACACATTGTTTGTGCGTTCCAATCCCAGTGTCCTACAGGGGCTGCTCCGCATCATCCCTTACCTGTCCTTCGGTGAACTAGAGAAGATGCACATCCTGGTCGAGCGCTTTAAACCCTGCTGCAACTTCGACAAGTATGGTGTTTGTTCATCTCTGTAACCTAGAACTCTGACTTTCCTTTGTAACAATAGTAAAATTGTTGCATTAAACACCATTTGTTTTCATGTACAGGTATGATGAGGAGCACAGTGCAGATGACAAGGTCTTTCTGGACTGTTTCTGTAAAATAGCTGCTGGAATCAAGAATAATAGTAATGGACATCAACTGAAAGACCTCATCTTGCAGAAGGGCATCACCCAGAGTGCTCTGGATTATATGAAAAAACATATCCCCTGTGCTAAGAAGTATGTCATAATATAATAATAGTGTTTATTTCTATATTTTTGTATAAATATATATAATTTGATATAAGATAGTGTTCATTTTTATTTATAGTAAATACTGGTATATGCTTTAATACAATATAGTATCTTTTATACGTATCCCAAAATACATATTGTAGATATTATAAATTATATTTAGATACATATTTGTGATTTATTTTGTTTATTTATATATATTCAAATACATTTTATATAAAAACATGTATCATTTATAATACTGTAATTATTATTTATAGTAAATGTATTAATATTTGTTTTATTTTTATTTTTTAATTAAAATGTCATTTGTAGTTGTATTTATTAATGTGTATATCCACATTAATAAAAACTAAATTTAAATATTTGAGACTTTGATTTAAAGTCTTTGCAACTTTACAGATCTTCTTTATGCACCAAGAGCTTGTAGCACTCCAAAGAGAAAGGAAAAATTTTAATTGCATCATATGACCCCTTTAATACATACAGTAGATTTACTATAAATAATAATTACAGTATAATAAATTATGTATGTGTGTCTGTGTGTGTGTAGTGCAGATAGAGTCCCGATATCCAGAAATACATTTTATAGATACATATTTATTATCTCTATTTTCTTATGTATTAGATTTAGTTTTATATTTATAAGTTTGATAAGTTATTCATTCATGTTTTTTCATTTATACAATATAAAATAAATCATTATTTTTGAACTAATGAAAAATATAAAACAACAAGAAATGCAATGCAATGCATCTACCTTATCCAAAAACATTACTATTATAAAGTGATTACCTAAACTAAATAATAATTTGCAGCCTGGATGCAGACGTTTGGAAGAAGTTCCTTGCTCGACCAGCCCTTCCGTTTGTCCTGAGACTTCTGCGTGGTCTGGCCACCCAGCACCCCCCTACACAGGTAACACTTTTATCACTAGTTTGAGAAGTTTTGATCTTTTTATTTCATGCTGTATCCCTGTACACAGACAACTAACATAAATCATCTTTTCTCCTCTTCTTATAGATGCTAATCGGAACAGATTCAATAACCAATTTACACAAGCTGGAGCAGGTGTCCAGTGACGAGGGTATCGGCACTTTAGCAGAGAATCTTCTGGAGGCACTAAGGGAACTCACAGAGGTTAATGTGAAGATCGACGCTGCCCGAAGGGAGACTCGAGCGGAGAAGAAACGCATGGCCATGGCGATGAGGCAGAAAGCTCTCGGCACACTGGGAATGACAGTGAGTTGCAAATATAGATAGAAGCTTGATGTATAATCGACTTTATAATCGTTTTTCACTTCGTTTTAGACCAATGAGAAGGGCCAGGTGGTGACCAAGACGACCCTGCTTAAACAGATGGAGGAACTCATAGAAGAACCTGGGTTGACTTGCTGCATTTGTAGAGAGGGCTACAAGTTCCAGGTCCATTTATCTACCAATGACGTTTTATTTAGCTGTAGATGTAAATGCTCAACCTCTTCATTGTCTTATCCTTGATTATACTTTGTACCCCACAGCCAACCAAAGTTCTGGGCATCTACACATTTACAAAGCGTGTGCCCCTAGAGGAGTTTGAGAACAAACCCCGCAAGCAGCAGGGCTACAGCACTGTCTCACACTTTAACATAGTCCACTATGACTGTCATCTTGCTGCTGTCAGGTGCGTGAAACTGCAATAGATTTGATTAAAGGAATATTTCACCCAAAAACAATCATTTACTCATCCTCAAGTTGTTCCAAACCTGTATGAGTTTTTTTTCATCTGTTGAACACAAAAAATATATTTTGAATAATGTTGGTAACCAAACAGCTGACGGTAGCCATTGACTTCCATAGTATGGAAAAAAATGCTGTGGAAGTCAATGGCTACAGTCAACTGAGAGTGATTGGTGATTGAGGGACAGAATTTTTTTATTTTTGGGTGAACTATCGCTTCAAGGAAGGTTTTATCTCACATGTTTCATAATGTTCCCTCTTGTCGGTCTGGATCAGGCTTGCCAGAGGGCGTGAGGAATGGGACAGTGCTGCACTACAAAATGCCAACACAAAGTGCAATGGTCTCCTACCAGTGTGGGGGCCTCACGTACCAGAATCTGCCTTCGCCACCTGCCTGGCAAGGTACGTCATGCCTGCAGATTATTTAAACCAAGCTGTACTCCTCAATATTTACAGGATTTTAAGCTTGTTTTGTACTGTTACAGGCACAACACATATCTGCAAGAGTGCACAGGGCAAAGGGAACCCACGTACCAGCTCAACATTCACGATACCAAGCTGCTGTTCCTGCGCTTTGCTATGGAGCAGTCCTTCAGCGTGGACACAGGTGGAGGAGGCCGCGAGAGCAACATCCACCTCATCCCTTACATCATTCACACCATTCTCTACGTCCTCAACACGTACGTTTATCAAAGATGAGAATTGAGTTCCAGTGCGTTTTGAGATTTAATTTTTTTTTCTGAATTTCTCTTCAGAACAAGGGCCACATCACGGGAGGAGAAGAATCTTCAGAGCTTCTTAGAGCAGCCTTGTGAAAAGTGGGTGGAGACTTCGTACGAGGTGGATGGGCCGCACTACTTCACCATATTGGCCATGCACATCCTGCCACCCGAGCGCTGGAGAACTACACGTCTCGACTTCCTTCGTAGGCTGCTGGTCACTTCACATGCCCGCAAGGTTTCACCAGGGGGTGCTAACAAGTAAGGGAACAAATCATGACTGTGCATGTGTCAGAGCATGAACTTTAAAGAGCTTGTGCAAGCGTATGCTGTACTTTACGTGCTGAGGGTGTCTATTTTTGGTTTTGGCAAGTGTTTTATGCTTACTCAAACTGCCGATGTTGGCTTTAAGACTGTATTATGCTTTAGAATATTGATGCAAGATTATATCAGACATGGCTTGTGCTGGGTGTGTCAGATTGTTTCAGGCCTCAGTATTACTGTTTGTCAAATTTTTCGCTTTCAAAGTGACTACTGTGTTTCAGTTTTTTTTTTGTTTTTTTATGTTATACATTATATAATGTAATATATAATTATATTATTTTATGCAATATTATTAATATAATTACGTATATGCATGCATTTTGTGTGTATGTGTATATATTATGCAAGATTATAATCTCACATTTTTAAATATTTTTTTAATTTTTTATATATATATATATATATATATATATATATACATATACACACACATACAAAATGCATGCATATATGTAATAATATTAATAAAATAATTACTCAATTTAATTGCAGTTTTTGATTTAATTGCAATATTGATACATGCATTTTATTTTTTTTAATGATGATTGTTTAATTGCTTTTAATGATTATTAATTTGCGTTTTGTTTTTTGTTGTATTAAATGTATATTTTCTACATTATAACTATATATATATATATATATATATATATATATCTCAAGCTATATATGGTATGGTTATACATATATTTATGTGTCAGGTTTATTTGTTTTGAATAATATCTGTCTGATAAGTGATTTAATTGTATATTTGTATATTCAGGCTCACAGACAAAGCCGTGAAGGAGTATGCCGTTTACCGCTCACCGCTTCTCTTCTGGGGTCTGGTGGATCTTGTCTATGATATGTTCAGGGTACGAGAATGTGTTCTTTTTTTGCACTTGTGTAATTTCTAATAAGTTCATATTTCCATGAAATCTTAATTTTATCTGCCCATTCCCACAACAGAAAGTGCCCACCAGCAACACAGAGGGAGGCTGGTCCTTCTCGCTCGCAGAGTACATAAGGCACAATGACATGCCCATCTATGAGGCTTCAGAAAGGATTTTGAGGGCTTTCCAGGATGAGCTCATGCCTGCTGAATCCTTCTCTGAGTTCCTGGATGTCGTAGGTCAGACATTTTTAAATACACTTTCCTGCCATATACTGAACACAAAGCTCAGTGAAAAAAAATGTTGAGCTATCGAATATTAATCTCTTGTACTGACTCTTTTCCCAGGTCTTCTGTCAGACATCCCAGACCCTGACACCTTCCTGCAGGACCTGTTGAACTCTGTGCCCTGATGGCACACTTTATGCACCTCACTTATGGACTCGTGAGCTCTCTGTCCAGTGCAGGTGTTCCTTAAACACGGAGTCTGTCTGTTACCCGGACACCGCTATTCGCAACTCCATAAGGACACCTTTCAATCGGGGCCCAGGCTCCCAAAACTTCTATCAGCTCGCATACACACTCATTCACCTCCACTTCTGCTCCTGATCTCTGCGTGGGTTCATTCAGTTATAACTCTCTCCTAAACAAGAAAGTGACGTATAGCCTGACGAGTTAATGCGCATTTACTCTACAGTGGTTTTATAACACCTAATACACACAAACACACCATGCTGTTTTGATCAGACATGTTGCAGGTAATTTGATTTGGAATTATTTCATAAATAACCCTGATGGCTTTTATTTTCCCCGGTGTTTGAATTTGAGTTGAATTACTGAAATAAATGAACTTTTCCACGACATTCTAATTTGAGATGCACCTGTATTTAATATGTAGTTATATATATATATTTCTATTTAGCTTTATTTTTCAGCAAGACAAACACTGCATCAGATATAATAAAACTGCGAAGGGAGGGTTCTTCACTTCTGGAAGTTTCTTTAAAGGTTCCCTAAATCCTTCTATCCAGTATGTTTTCTTGTTCCCATCACAGACACTGTAATATACAGTATAAAATATGACAGAAATCCTTTTTTCTTTCCACATTATTACAATTAATTGAAAGTATGAGTGAATTTTAATCCATTTCGTTACTTTTGGTTGAGTAGACCAGTCATTATATCTGTGTTCTACCTGACAATTTATAAATTTATAAACTGTCAAGTCACTATGACGATATCACTTTCCATCCCAAGTCTTTTAGTAAAAACCCTTGACAAAAGACTTCCTCTGGGACGTGACCTCATTTTGGTGGGAGAAGAACAGCACAATCGCACCTATTAATGGATCTGAGTATTAATCATAATGATTTACAATTATAAATGTTCTGAAATGAAAAGTGTCAAATCGTGATCGTAGCATACTTATAGCATATTTAAACATATCTCGCCGTTTTCTGTACCCTTTTATAGAAACATTTACAACACAAAAAAATATTGATTTTGTTACAAAGTTCAAATAAGAAGCTACTGTACGGATCACAAACAAAGTTCTCTTTTATAACTTCTTGAACACTGTATACAAAGCCAAATATTTAATATGCAAATACTTTTAAAGGCACAGCGCTAATGCCCGAAACCCTCATGTAATATGTTAATTAGAAGGGCGTGTCTTACAGACAGTAGCCAGTGCTACTGTTGCTGGAGGGCGGAGCGGACATGTCTTCTTCTCCTCCCGTTTCCTTCGGATGGTGTTCTCAGACTGGGCTGAAACCTGAGTCTCTATGGCGAGTTGAGACCAATAACCAGCCCGTTTCATTACCAGCGGATGGTAGGAGGGCAGCTGAGAGTTCATGAAATGTGTACTGGTCAATGCGCTTTATCCGACCGCTAGAAGCGCGACTATGGCCTATTATTTGTGTGACATTAGATAAAGGGAGTGCACCTTGCGTCCGAGAGCATGGAGGTGACGTATGCAGCTTTACAGCCTCTCCAGTTTGATGCCTAGAAACACTGCTCACGAATAAAGATGGATTTACCTCATCGTTTTCCGGACCCGCTTCTCAACCCGATGTTGTTCAATGAATCCGCGGCACCCGTCGGTATGAATGAAGCGTGTGCGGCTGGGAGCGGGTCCGGCGCTATGGCAACCAGCGCGTTGAGAAACGATTTGGGCTCCAACATTCATGTGTTAAAAACACTAAACCTCCGCTTCCGCTGCTTCCTTTCCAAAGTCCACGAGTTAGAGCGCAGAAACAAGTTATTGGAGATCCAGCTGCAGCACGCCCAGGAGCAATCCCGGTACCGACTGCTGTTTTCCCGGGAGCAAGCGGTCCAGACCAACCTCGAGCTGCCTTATTCAAACGCACTGTGTCCGTCGAGACTCCCCGGTAGAATCTGGAGCTTCTCACACACCGCCCGATTCGGAGGACGGTTTGAGACTCATCAGGGGCCTCATCCGGACGGTGTCGGGGTTCAGATTGACACCATCACACCTGAACTCAGGGCCTTGTACAATGTTTTGGCCAAAGTCAAGCGCGACAGGGACGAGTACAGGAGAAAGTGAGTGCAGCTCCAGCTTATATTTCAAGTGTTTGTCTGCAAAAAGTGGGGAAGTTATGTCTTTATCAACAATTTCCTTGTAAATCAAGAAACATTATGGTCACTGCAATTATTGTTACGATAAAGCTCTGGTAACTTGATATTAGTTACCACTGTCATCTATTGTCATCTACTGTCTGAAACAAAACGAAAGCTTGTTACATTATTAGTTGGTTTTACATTAAGAACAATAACTGTAATATTGTTATGGTAAGTATGTACTTTGGCCAAAACTATGCTTACAATTAGACAGATATAGAGCAATAATTGGTTTGATCGACCAAAATATTGAATAATGGTTGGCCTATTATTTACCAAAATGTCAAAGTAACCTATTTAATCTATTATTGATCTATAATAATAATATTATTATTATTATTATAAAACAAGCAAAACCGCCAAAATCTCAATCACAAAAGAGATTTGAATAAATGTTATTTGAATATAATGTTAAAATTATTTTTTGTTATTAAAATTGTTATTTATCTGCATATTCCCAACAGGGAATGTTCTCAGAACTTTGGTGAACGTAAGGCAAAATCCAGTTAAATTAATTAAACATTTGTTCTAAGTTATCTGGTCTTTAATAATGTTCTCAAAACTGTTCGCACATTGTTATTTTTTGTTCATGGAATCTTTTTCTAAACCAGTTTATTTGGACATTCATCTGCCATATTGTAAAAGTTGCTTCCTAATCATTTGAGAACATTGTGAGAACTTTCAAAAGTAGCATTAATATAACATGTGCAAAATGATCAAATGGAACATTCCCTTAATGTTTTCTCTGACGTTCGCATAACCAAGAACAAACATTTTTACTTTTCAAAACAAAAACTTTGCCCCCTGTGTGTTCATAGTAAACAAGAGTGTGTGATTCCTTTCTGTTTTGTGCGGCTGTCCCTGGGGCTTGTTTTTTTCAGTGTCTTAACAGTAAGTCTCTATTAGTAACCCCTGTATGTTCACTAGTATCCTATTACAGAGTGTCCAGTTTGGATATGAAACCTGAGAAAGCAGGGGTGACATTTTATCTGACAGAAACCATTAGCTTTTTCTCTCCTCCAAATGGGGATCTGTGCAAACCCATCCCATTCAATAGCAGTTTGTGGAATCTACCCTAGAACTTCAGTAGAATCACTTTACAGTTTCTCTTTTTCTCTTTGGGGACTAATAATTATTGTTATTGCTCCGTGTAATACACTTCCACCCATTTTGTGCAGGTTTGGTTCATACATAAGGAATTTCCCCTGATTATATTCTCTTTTCTCTGTGTCATTCAGTTCGTTGTCTGATTCAACCATTTATTTTTGTCATCTGCAATAGAAAATTGACCAATGCATGTTGATTCAGAAGATAAATTTCCTGTTCTTGTTGCTAAAAGATGCTTGATTTATGTGTCTGCTGCTGGGAAAGTGATGAACAAAACATTTTTGCCAAATTCCTTGTTTCTGACCCTCACCAGACAGTGTGGGGGCTCATTCATTGCTCAATACAAGTGAGTTACTGTAACTTTAAGGCATTTCCGGTCATCTAGAAACCCCATAACTACAGGAACCCTGAGATGCTATTGTGTTTCTCAGACTGTTCCTCTTGGCTGTGCTGCTATCTTAGTTTGTGTCAGTGGCTCTGTTGTAATAATAATTTAATAGTCTGGCTATAGAAGGCCCAGAGGGTTTTCTCGTCTGCCAGAACAGATGTAATCTGTCTGTGAGAAGCAGCGGACGAATGAGCCACACAATGATTCATTTCCAGATCTTGAGTGAGCTAGAAACCCCACTTCATAAAGAGTGCCTGCTTCCTTTGATTATTCACTGCTTACAGTAGCCGTGCTGTTAGGAATGTGCTATTTTTTAGATAAATTATTGAGTAAATAGTCATATGTTTGCCTTTCCTTAAGTGGTAAACTCAAAATTAACTATTTTTTGCATTGCTGTCTTAGTTCTGCTGTCGTCTCATGTTTGTTTTGGCCCTCAGATAGAGTGTCACAGTAGCAGACGGTCAGTTAGGATGGATGTTGGTGGTCTGTTATATTAAATGCGATCCGAGACAGGTGGAGAGTGTGGCATCAGACTCATATGCAAAGACTGTCTCCTAGGAAATCATCTAAACAAATATAAAAGCGGCTACCTAAAACGGCTCGTTCTAACACGCCCCCACATATCTACCTCACGATGTGGGAAGATTTGCATAACGCCACCCAAATGTTCACGCAAAGAAAGAAGGTGTAACTTTTATTCTCGCTGTAGTATTGTTATTGCCGCCGCCATGTCGTAAAGATGCTGTGTGCTTCGTTGTGAAAGCGAAACTACTTTGTTTGGTCTTCCAAAAGAGGACGATATCCGCTTCGTCATGCTTAAAGCTGATCCGTGCTGGTTGCTGAGGAAAGACAACAACTTTGCTGTGGATCACCGGATCGGCTTTCACCGTGGATGAAGCGGAGTCCAGCCCGGGGTCGTCACATGTGGTTGCCGCAAGCCCTCCGGACGCTCCTTCGTCGAATCCGCCGGCCGCGCCGTTCTCAAGCCGCTCACTCTAGGTGTGTGATGCTGTGTTTCGTTGTGAAAGCAAAACTACTTTGTTTGGCCTTCCAAAAATGGACACGACTAGAAATCAGTTGTTAAGTTGTATTTACAACACTGTTCCAAAACACTTCAACCCTAATATTCAGATGTGTGCAGCCCATTTTATGGAGGACTGTTTCCTGATCCTGGTAGAGTAGACTACAATGCCGGCTGTTCTGACTCACCGACTGTAAGTACGTTTTTATATTTAAAGAATTTTTATATTTTATATTTTTTTATATTTAAAGCGAGTTTTTTGGGCAGTGTAGAGTAGGGCTTGTTGTTTGTCATTTCTCCGAACACAAATGCAGACATGGTTTTAGGTTTATGGGGCGCGATGCAACGCAACGCGTAAAAAGACAGTATAAATCATTATAATCCGTAATTATGTCCCCACTGGATGCAACGAATGCCTCGTTTATAATGGGTTTTAATGTTTTTGAATCATCGCTCCGGTCTGTCAGGGCATCATCACAGTATGGTAAGGGGCGTAACATTTCCGCCACATGCTTGAGGTATTCGGCCAATCATAACGCACTGGATAGCTGGCCAATCACAGCACACCTTGCTTTTCAGACCGATGAGCTTTGTAAAAATCAATGCTTTTCAGAAAGGCGGGGCATAGAGGAGAAACAATAATGTACAGTATGTGGAAAAGAATGTGTTTTTTTTTACCTTAAACCGCATAAATGCATTGCATTACACCAAATACACAAAATAATGTTCTTTTTAGCAACATCATATGACCCCTTTAAAGTAACTTGGCGCCAAATTAAAAGGAACGGCAATCTGTTAATGTATTTGCATTTGCCGATTTTAGTGGCATCTGCCTATTTTCAGAGTTTTGAGTTTCTGAGGTGTTTAGGAGTGGGATTTGTTCCTGACTTGAGCACAGAATGCCAAAAACCATTATTGTTGAAAGGGAAATTAAGACATTCAACCCAGTTATTTTCCTGACTGTCAAAACAGCACAAACCTACAAATCATCCGATAGTGACTGCCTGGATATTTTAGGGAGCTTAACATATCTAGAGAATGGAGTCATCTGCCCCACCCCTCGGAGTGTCATGCGAATTCTTCGCCCATCCTCCCGTTCTATTGGAATTTTTTTGTCTGATTAATCCTTTGTGGCAATTCCATGGCTTTGATAGAAATTCTGGTTTATTAAATTGTTCTGGACTTCTGTGGAAGTTGAATGTCTTACTCTTTTATTGTTTTGGAAATAATGAACACTAGAAGCCTTTTGGTTTTGCATAATATTTTAATTGGTATCTTCGTTGGCATTTCTAAATGCATGTGTTTGTAGTGATTCTGCCCAAGATTAGATTAAGAAACGGAGTTTAAATCATATTTATTTATCCACATGCCATATGAATGTTGTTCTGGGGGACAGTTTATCATTTTTAAGCTCTAGCTCTGTGATTAAACACATGCCCGATTTCAGTGAAATACACTCAAGCTATAAACATTTCCTAGCACAAAAGCCATGCATTCTGCAGATGATGGCTTTGAGGAGTGCACACTTTCAAAAGGTGTTTTATAACCGCAGCAGACACTCTCCACTGACCCGTGTGAGTCGGGCTGTAAAGCCATGGCCATAGACGTTTGTCCAGTTCTGGTCAGGGATGTTGGCAGTAGCTGCATGTGAGGTGATGTTTTGTGTGGGGGATCAATGGTGTGTGAACAGGAGGTAAGCTTGCAGCAAAGTGAGGTAATCTCTCCAGGGAATGATTCAGTAGTTCTGCCCCCCACTCATGCTGGGAGTTCAAAATCATGGGAACTAGTACATTCTGAACATTTTTACATTTCCAAGAAATAGCTGGCAACTGTGATGTGATGAAAAAACATACCGCTTTTGTTTGTTTGTTTATTTTTTATTATTTTTATATTTTTTGCTTGAGGGGACTTGAATTTCATTTATTGAAATGTTATTTTGAATATTTTAGATATTATGTTTGTACATATTAATTATCATATGTTATTTACATTGTTTTATTATGTAATTTTAAGTTACATGATATCATATAATAATTGAAACTGAGTTTGACAAAAGGTCTGGTCAGGCCTAATTGGACTGACTGACTTTAGAAATGTGATTTGGTGATTTTTATTTAATATTTTTTACTTACAATCAACCCATGAGTGTTCCTTTAATAAACTGCAGTCAAATATTGTTTTAGTTTCCACATATGTACAGAATAGACATTGTTTTCATGTTGTGGTCACTCAGGACTGAGTAGCATATTCTTTCACAGCATGATGATATCCATAAATGAAAGCTGATGATGATCCATCCAGTCTTTCCCATCGTATTATAAAAATCTATGGGATAATGATGCTAACAAATCATTCAGGCTTGCCAGTTTCCCTGAAAGTATTCTGTATTCTGCCTTTTTCTCCTGA